CGCAGACTTCATTAGTGCTTTTGTCTTGACAGGTACCTACTACTGCTGATTAAAGTTCACCATTTATCCAATAAAAAACTTGCATGGAAAGCTTCCAAAAGCTGCTACTGGATTTCAGTCCCTGTAAGCAGAATGTTTCTGGATAACTATTTTTAAGAGGGAAAAATAAAACGCCCTCACTGCAAACTTTTCAGGAAGGCAGCAAAGCATAGCTCTGTATGCTAAGCATTTCCAACAGTACTGATTTAAGGTACAGTTAAGAATATTTGTTAGTTAGAAGTGACAGTAAATGCACATATAAAGGACAATACAACATGGAGGAGCTGGGGTCTTGGGTTACGGTTGTGGGGTTTTTTTTGACCAATCTATTTCTGAAGCCCCACCAATGCATTTATTTCAAGGACTCAAGGAAAGTAAACATCCTCCTCCCCACTCGCACTGCCTTTGACATTTAGCCACTTTTCTCTCCCTGAATCACAGAACCATTGAACAGCCTGGGTTGCAAAGGACCACAATGATCATCTAGTTCCAACCCCCCCTGCTATGTGCAGGGTCACCAACCACCAGACCAGGCTGCCCAGAGCCACAAAGTTCAGGCTCTGCTTGAACCATAACCCAGCTTTTCCCAAGTCAAGTACATGCACAGCTGTCTCCCTCCCAGCTAAGAAGTCACAAAGACCACAGGAAAAATAGTAAGGCTTTCCATCCTACTTACTCATAATTGCTGATAAAATTAGAAAATGGGAGCAAATGAAAATAGTTGTGGAAAAAAGCAAGACAAGGAAAGCGTGCAACTCAGCTGTGTGAAGGAACAGCGTTTAAAACAGGGGATTTCTAAACAGATAAGGCTGTTCCTCTGACCTCGGGAGGCACCAGCGAGCTGCTAATTACTGGGCTGTTAACTCAAACTGGCAAAGGATTCATCAGATAGGAAAATGACTGGAGAAAGAACTCTGCTGGGAAGTCAGGAACTGAAGTGGTTTGCAAGAGAAATGTAGATTCTGGAATAGAAGAGATGCAATTCTTCAGGCAGCTGAGAAAAGGAACCTAACCAGCTGTTTTAAGATTAGAAGTCCAGAACAGAAGAAATCAGTGAGGCTGGAGAAGGCTGCTTCTTAGTCAGGGAACAGCCAGGTTGTCTGTGGTTTTGGGAAGCAGATTTCAAGCTAAGAGAGGCAGTTCTGCCTGCCAGCATGAGGGTTTCTCAGAGTTGGAGGGGATACCAAAGTAAGAAGCTAGGAAGTCATATTTGGAAGGATTGGACACGGATGTTCAAGTTGACATTGTAAAGGAGAAGAGAGTCCTTTACCCTGAAGCAGAGCAGAGGTTGGGACCACAATAATGATGTCTAAGCACGGAGTTGCCATAGCTCACACGGTTAGATCCTACCAGGCAGAGATATCCTTCTGGACATCCATCCACTAATGCAACCACCGGATATGAACTGCAAGAACTGGGAAAGCAGGGGACAGCAGCACAGACACTTCTGCTCTGAGATGAAAAATTGGCCATAGCATCTCTTAGTGTTATTCTTTGGCTTTGTGGGTGGGTGTTGGGCCTCGGCCTTGGGTGATCTCCAAGCGACAAGAATAAAATATAAGGGCTTCATTGTAGCAGATAATCTCTTCTCCACTTCCCCGAGATCAGCGCTGCTGTTTGGATGTTCCCGTGGTGATGAGGAAATAACACTGCAAGCTGGCATGGGTACAACAGCATTTCATGGGAAAAAACAAAAACAGGGGAAACAAAACAAGTAGAGGTTCTTGAAACGGTGCTGGATGGAGCAGAGGACTCACAAGGTTAAAACACGGGGATTTATGAAGCACAGCTCCCAGACCAGAGGCTTCCCTTCCCCTTCCTAATGTGCGTTTCACCTCCTGGTGCCAGCTATGAAATTATACTCTCTGTGCAGAAACTCGTTTTTCAGCCCACGTGGGAAACGTTCAGACAAATGTATTTTCCGAAAGAAAAGAAAACATTTTAAGAGCCACAAGTATTTCCCCTCAGGTGATTCCCCCTTAATCTTCCCAGTGACACCTCTCCCAGACGCTTCCCAGCACACCGAGCTGCACAGCAGCGGCTATTCCCAAGGTATTTAGTTTCTCCCCACAGGTTTTCCGCAGCGATTATGTGGCTTCAGATCTGAAAGGCTGCTCTTCTCGTTAAGTGACAGATAATTGAGCAGCGCGAGGCTGAGCGAAGCTGCTTCCTCCACAGCAGCTCCTTTTGCCCACAAAGACAGCAGAGCCGAGTGCTTCTTTCCTCAAACCTGGGTGCAGATCTCAGCCACTTTTAAAAGAGTATTGCATAATAGAAATACAGCCCAGTCCAAATCTTTCATTATACGGAGAGATACAGCAAACAGCATTCCAAACACACGCAACAAACTGTGCAGCACAACACTGATTTTTGGGGACCACTCTGCCTGCATGGGATCACAGCAAGGGGTGAAGGTACCTCTGCAGGAACAAGGTCTGCTTTTGCTGATCAGCCCTGCCTGCCACTGACTTTCCAGCGTACCACAGATGTTTGCACATCCCTAAGGCAAAGGTCAGTTCTCTTAGTATTGGATTTTAAAGCATCTGTTGCAGTTAGCCAAACGCCTAGAGCTGCAGCTATGGGAAGCTCTCAACATCCCCCAGACTTTTTTTTAAACAAGACCTGATATTTTCAATGTAGCACAAACTGCTGAAGCCAGTTCCAGATGTATTGCCCTGTGAAGGGAAGTGCCTGGCACATTACACATCCCTGCAGCTCCATAGAGACACATGGGCAGCCATGGAGCTGTGCCCCAGCGCTCCCTGCAAGCCTTTGGAACTGGGAGTCATTTAAACACTTCTCATATTCACATTCACTCTGGCTTTAACTAGTTCTGTTCTACATCGCATCATGGCTATGTTAGTTTTTTCCCCAGGTGAGAAATGAGAATGATGCTTCTGTCACAACCCAGTAGCATACATAGATGCAGAGAGAGAACAGGCAGTGGTCTATCAGATAAGGCCTGGAGACATGGACAAATCCAAATTCTGTAAGGAGACAGCAACCCTGGAGCGTAAGTATTATAGAAATAAGAAGATATGCTTCTAAAATGGGAATTAAAAAAAATTATATTGAGAAAAATCTGTTTTAAACTCATTTTCTCATGTCCCTTCCCCCAGATTAGCTTCTGTACCAAAAAAGTAATTACCTTCACCTCTTCCAAAACTCACCTTAACAGCTGAATTAAAAGATCAAACAAAAGATTTCTGAGCACTGCTATGTTCTGATAGTGAGGGAAAGTCCTGAACTCAGTATCAATGCTCTCAATTCAGGTGGACAATCAGAAACACTCTGTTTTTTCTAATCAGTTCCAAAGTCCCCAGGTCTATTTGTTTCTAAGGAAATAGGAAAATCAGAAGACAGCAAAAGTCCCCGTGTTGAGGTAAATTAAATAGCTCTTTTATGACAGTCATTTATCAGTGCTCTGATTGATCCATACCCTACAAGTTACTGCTCGAACTGATTGCATTAACAGCAAGAACAGCAGAAACAAAGGAAGGCAGGAGGGAGGGCAGGATCTGGGGCACACACAGCATGCCATGAGGATAGGGCACTCTGTAGCCGAGTGCCTGAAGAGCAGAACTAACACAAAGGTGCTTAAATAGCATTTGGCACAGCCAAACCTGCCTGTCGAGGGCCGTTTGGGAAGGATATTCAGTGCCCAAGGGGCCTTTTGTAGCCTGTTTGCTTTAAACTGCAAGGAGTAAGCGCCAGTACTTCCTTACATTGACAGAAGTGAAACTTAATCACAGCATTTTATTCTGAAGAGAGGAGGAAACAGAGCTGTTTACACTGCGTGATCAATAGGAGCCGTGAAATAGTGCTGCAGGACACGTTTAATCAAACACTGGGATAAGTCAGGCAGGATGGATTGCAGGCTTTACATCATTCTGGAGAACCACGGGGTGAGAAGAGCTGTCAGGATCTCACCTGAAGTTTTCCAGCACAGTGATATGTTGGAGGGGCAGGACATTGCTTGAGGCTCTGCAATGGATGGTGCCCTGTCTCTTCATGAGGTTGTCTTTCATTCTGTACAGTTGGTGACAATGTCTACTTTGACATATTGCTTCCACAACGACAGCAAGTTGGCATTTGCTCAGGGCTTATAGCTTAAATAACCAAGACATAAATTCTGCCTAAGACGACTCATAGATGCCTTCTTTTAAAATCAGAACCACGAGGGGCAAGAATAAAAGCTTGTCCAAGCACAAGGAGCAACCCATTAAAATGGAGCCTTACAGCATCTCAACAAGAGATTTTCCAACAATGCCGTGCAACTTAGATTCATCTTCCTTTTGATTTTTTTTTTTTAATTTCCTTATTACCATTAAGTTTTGATGTATTTATGCAAAAATGAAAGCCAAGGAAACAAGAAATTGATGGGTGTAGTCTATTGGTCTAGATAGCAGTATGTACTCCTGATGGCAGCCATAGGTGTGCTCCAAAGACAGGACTTCTGGAATCCACAGTTCAGGTTGCTCAGAGGGGATATAGGCAAAATGAAGCCCTTGGCTTGAGTGGGACAACACTAATCTCTAAACTTAAGACTTAAAAGAGTGGAAGCCTACTACTAACACAGGTAATGTTAAAGGCTCTCCCACCAGTTAACAGTGCAGAAGAAGTGTAAGTCAATTCTATCCAGGCAAAACGTAGCGCTGCCCAGCTGTGATCAATCAACAGTAAGAAATGTGATGGAAACCATATAGAGAACACCAGAAATTCAGCTCCCTCGCAAAGAGCAGCTTCCAGCTCTGTCTTTCAAAACAGCAGAGCAACCTTTTCCCCATCAGTTCTCTCCCACAAGCAGACAGATGATGGATCGCCTTCCCTTGCAGTCAGTGGAAATTAAAGGGGTTCAGTGCTTTACAGCCAGACTCCAATTGCCCAATGGGTGTTGTATTATACTGTATTTGACTATTCCATATGCATGCTGCTCTGATCCTGCCTCCCAAAAGTACTTCTTCAAGGAAATAACACAATTCTGATTTATTCCTAGGGCAGCAGAAACTGATGTACAGAATTACTCATGGGTAGGCTGCAGCATTATTAGCATTCATTAAAAGCCCAGAGAACAAATTAAGTTGTCCCCATACAGCAGGAGCAGACCCGGAGCCTGAAATCAAGTCCCAGCTTCACGGTCTGCACACATCACTGAGAAACACATGGGCAGTTCTGCAGTGTCCCATCACAGGTTTCCTGCTGTAAAATCCCAAGCAAAGAACATGAGAAGAACATATTTCAGCTTCCTTCTGGAGGTAGCTATAGCAGAACCGCAAGGTTTCTATAGTAATAAATAAAACACAGTAAATTAATTTTTAGGGCCCTGAACTACCGTAACACGCCAGGCAGTTCATAAGCAACATTAGAACCATAAAACATCCAACAAAAAGCACAGGGAATCGGGGGAACATAAATACTTAACATTTTATCACTGCGCCTTTGCCAGAAAGGTATTAGAGACTCACAAAGAGATCTTGGCACTCATCGCCAGGTACGTAATCCTCCTCGCTGCCACGTGAGCAGTGCTGAGATGCTGCAGTACACACAGCTTCTTTTCCATCAGACCAAACCTGTACAGCAATTTTCTCACCTCTGAAGGGATGAGGATGCTCAGGAGGACACTGGGATGACAGCGCATTTTCCAGAAGTGACACAATTGCCAAGATTCTGTCACAAATAAATAATTCACCATAACCCATCAAACTAGAAAATCCACCTCTTCCCATGCCTAGTCCTTGAAGGTTGACACGAGCATAACACCTCAGTTATTCTGCAACAAGAACTGCCCAACTGCTCAGAGAAGTGCTGTAACTCATTCCCATGTTATTCCTCTTACCACTGTAATAAGAGTTTTTCAAATACAGGAAAGAAGAATGGCTTGGGTTGGAAGGGACCTCAAGGATCATCAAGCTCCAACCCCCTGCTGCATACAGGGCCAGCAACCTCCACATTTCACACCAGCCCAGGCTGCCCAGGGCCCCATCCAACCCAGCCTTGAACACCTCCAGGGATGGATGGGGCATCCACAGCCTCTCTGGGCAGCCTGTGCCAGAACCACCACCCTCATGGTAAAGAATTTCCACCTGACATCCAACCTAAATCTTCCCTCCTTCAACTTTTAAAGAAAGAAGGCACAAGTACAACAGGACACATGTACTCACCTTCACCAAAGGCTCTGATTTGCACAGTGAGACCACAGCAATGCCACATCCCATAGCAGCACAGTTTGATCATAGAACTCCATCACTGAAACTCTCACTACCAACTCCCAAAGCAGCCAACCCAGAAAAGCAGTCAGCACAGGCTGATCATTAACACCAATTAGTGCTTGATTGGCAGCATTGGGTTTGGGGGAAATGGGGAACTGGAGCCTCTCTCCTGGCAGGTGGGCAACTCATCATTGGTAGTGGGATGAGCACAGGTTGCAAGAAAAAACAAATTGCAATGAATCACAGCTGGCCCTAAGCTTAGGACTTACTTTTACACCTGAATCCTAATTCACGTATTTGGGTTTGTAACAATTACTCCAGAACTCAGCCAGCAGCAGTAACCTAAGAAGTAAAATAAAGCTTTATGAATGCAGTGGAGGTGTCCAGAGATCTTCATGCACGTCTGTGTTTGAACTGGTGGTGCTGCAGGTCATTTATAAGCCTGCCATGCACACGTGTGTTAAAACAATGTGGATAAAGTTCAAATGAATTTGTCTTTGGAGTGCAATTTATTTAAGAATAAATCTTTGCATCGATGCATGCTGCACAACAATTGTGCAGGCTCCAGCTCTGCAAGGATTAAGAATGGCTTTTGTTCCTATAAATGCTTGGTACCACTCTTCTTTAATTTGCCCAGGGTTTGGTTTATTGCTGATGCCCGCCAATTTCAGCTCTCTTCTTAATTTACTTCTTTTTTCCTTTCTAACCAATCGTCCTCATTGCATTCTGCTCCTGCAGTTCCCTGAGTGTAGTTAGCTTCACTTCTATTCATAAGAAAGCTTCCAGTTGGCACAAACACAAGATTGAGGGTAACTGCCTGCTCACAGGTGTGGGCAGGACAGGGATGGGCTGGGGAATGGGCTGATGGAGGACAGTTGGAGCAGAACAACACGAGGTTCCCCCCATTGCTTAGAAAATTGCAATTGCAGTTTTAGGGACAAATTTTATAAAGAATATGAAGTCACTTAAAAAAAAAAAAAGGTCTTACAATGTAAGGATTTGCAAGGCACTATGTGAGGAAGCAGTAAAGAGCTACGATGTCTGATATTTGTAGTAGAAAGTTTTACTTCAGTCTCTGTATCCTACTGCAAGGAATGGGCACAGCCATGCTGCTTCCCTATGGCATGTGTGCTACAAAAGAAGCAGTGGTATGGGTAGTTAATGCCTATTTTCCAATCTAGATACAGTTTTAACTTCCCTGAAATACCAGTGTTTGCTTCAGATACATACAACTCAGCATCCTTGTGCAGAATAAGTAAATGCAAACTATACCATGTTCCATCAAAACAGAACATGAACAGAGAGGCAATAACTTACCCTTTGGAGATAGCTCAGGCTATTAAGGAAAGCGACATACATGGAAGGGCAGTGCTGAGCTTAATTAACAATGCAAACTCAGGAAGCTAAATTAACTCGAAGTATGGCCCTTAGAAGTCTTTGGTGAATGCAATTTATCCACAGCAATTACTGGCGTGTGTTCATGGAGATAACTCAATGAAGCATTGCTTCATCAGTGGCAATGCTTTCAAGGGCAGTATTTATTTTAAGACAAGAAGCTGTGCAGAGGGAATGCCTTTACCTCGGTTAGCTTTTACCCCCATCCAACAGCGAGCACAATTCTGCTGTTGAGATGAACTCGGCCCAAAGCACAGACACAGCTTCCTGAAAAGTCGTGCCAAACGTGGCATTTTTGGGTGGCATACAGCAAAACAAAATGTGGTTTGCAAAAGGCAAGTGGCACCGTGGATGCCTGTGATGTAAGGGCTCCATGCTGAGCATTCATCTCACATCGTTATGTTCCCGAAGGAACATAAATAAAAAATGGAGGCTAATTTCTTGGTCTGTATTCCCTCCAAATCCCCTAATATCTTCCTAGTGGTTGTACTGCTGGAGACAAACCAGGGTCTGCTGCCTGCCCCAGCTCTCCCTTTTGAGACATCTCAGCTGGGGAAAGAATTGAACTCACTTCTCTATTCAGGTAGATCTGAAAGAAGCAGGACACTGAAGATCCTCTGGGGACGAGGAAAGTTAATTAACAGTGTATTATCCTGAGAGTGTCTTTCTGAAGCCCCGGAGGTGCCATCTAATGCCATTACTACCTCATTTATAGTGACAGCCCTCTTGACTCCACTGTCTCTGCCTTAATTTTCAGGGCAGAAGGAGTCAGCTCCTCATTAAATATTTGTATTTTCTTCAGAGCTTTTTTGTTTTCCAATCTCTTTCATTAAGAGGCCTTCATGACATGCTTACCCCGTGAAGAATTCAATCCTTGCTGCCGGATAATTTTTCTTCCACCAAAATACATCAAGATGAAGATGTTATGTTCCTATTGGGACCACCCTAATACCACAGCCAGTAATCAGCCTTTGGCTGACTTGCTTTTTTTTTTCTTTTTAAACACAGCCAGATCCTTTAGGGGTATTCTTCTCATTGCCTCTTCTCCACTCCCATCCCAGTGCTATATTTTCCTCTTTTTTTTCTTTTATCCCCGTTTTCAGGAACACACATTTTACTCTTTCCTTCCAGTTTCCACATTCTCGGTTTCACTGATACCAGCCATATCTCCTGGGCAAGGCATAACCATCCAGATCTCTCAAAAGAATGGCATTGCCATAAGACGTGTGACACAAAGGACCTCCTTCTCAATTGCAGCATCTTGGCACTGCTGTGGGCATAGCAGCAAGGGAAACTCAGCTGAGAGACTTGGGTTGTGTCAGTAAAACATAAATACCACAAGACGTACCTTGGATTTCAAGAGTTATTCCACTCTCCTGCACCACATCATCTCACTGAGCAAAAGGCAGGAGTGAATATAATCTCCACCTGTATTTCTTTATGAGATGAATTAATGAGTCTCTGCTGTCATTTGCGGTGAGAAATATGGAGAGCGCATATTATTTTCAGGATCTCAAGAGTGTGAGAAAACTTCAGAAGCATGAAATATCTCCCCCCCCTTAGCAAACCCTTTTGTGCAGTTGTTTTATAGCCAGCAGGAGGAAACTGTTGGAACTTTCTGTGAGAATTGATGACTGCTGGTAAAAGAGATCCTAACGATTTGGGTCACTTTGAATTATAAAAGTCATCACCGTACTTCTGAGTGTTAGCTGCTCCCAGAGTACAGTGTTGGAAGTGTCAGGCCCAAATGATGTGCAGTGCATTTAGCTAACCTCTGGCTTGAGACACGTCTGTCTGTAAGGTCATACCCCACTGATGAGAAGAGCAGAAATCCAGTGGAACATCCTCGGCAGCCATGGCCGTCCACATGCATGCTGGTAGGGCTGATGGGAAGGATCTTCCACATTATTACTACCAAATTATATGTTATTATGCTTGGAAAAAGTGATACTGCAGGCTGCATGCTTTGGATTCGCCATCCTTGGAGGTGTCCAAAGGATATCTGAACATGGTCCTGGACAAGCAGCTTGTGCTTGGTGACCCTGCACATAGCAGGGGGTTGGAACTAGATGATCATTGTGGTCCTTTTCAACCCCGGCCATTCTGTGATTCTATGATTCTCTATGCTTGTGCAGGACGGTTGGTCCCTTCAGAGTCCTATTCCAAGTGCACATCACACTAAAGGAGAGGAGGAGGCACCCCAGGATCTTCCCAGAGCTGTACGGTGCAGGGGGCTGAGGCATTTACACTGACTATTCACGTTAGCTGGAGGGAACAGCCCCAGATATCAGCCATAAAGAGGGCAAAATGTTATGTTACAAAGTCACTGCCCTCATATTCAGCACAGCGCAGTGCTTATGGGAGGGAGTGCCAGAGGAGCCCTGCTTGGTGCGTCTTAATTATATTCTATTTCTTCATTATCTTTTAGAAAGCTCTCACTTCCAATTACACATCAAGCTAGTGAGTTCTGTGTCCTCCTGGCAAGATATTGCTAAAACCAAAACTCACCACCTCTCCTGCAAACAAACAAACAAACAAACAATCATGCAAACCAGCTTAATTGGGGGCAGGCAGCCTTCCACAGAGCCAGAACTGCTGCTGTGAAGCTGGGCAGCCCCTGGCCATGGCCAGGACCTTACTGGCTTTGCCCCATTTCCTTCATCAAACACATCCATAGAATATAACTTGTCGTGTCTTTATGAAGGAGTGGAATTATAAGCCTAAAGAACTTGGCAGCATTAGGCAGAAGAGGTCATCTGTTTAGCACAGACTGCAGTGCCAAAACTAGTTGCTAGTGGGAAAAAAATCCCCATTTTGAAGAACACAGCAAGGAAATTGTAAAGCCCATGGGGCAGCATGGATCTCCCTGCTGCAAGTTTCTGAAAGGACAAAGTTTAACAGCAGTGAGAAAAACACAGGTGTGGTACTCGGCACAGTAAATAGGATTACCAACACCTTCAGTCCATTTTCCTTTTCTCAGTACATAACACTGCGTCAAAATGTGTTTTATCAGCAACGTATATACACACAGGAACAAAGGGAAGTGATCTGATATCAGAATGCCTAACCCATACTTGGATTACACCTGTTAGCAGGGATGTATTCAGTCTTTTCCAGGCTTTGCTCAAAGTCCCTTCCTTTTGGATAAAAAAGGGCTAACCCGACTGTACCTACAGTCAGGATTTATAGGATTAAGCACACCCAATGAATGTGTTTGCACCCAAAGAGTCACTCATACATTGATCCCAGTGTAAAAGTGCATTTCCACCCAGAGGGTGGTGAGGCACTGGAACAGGTTGCCCAAGGAGGCTGTGGATGCCCCATCCCTGCAGGCATTCAAGGCCAGGCTGGATGTGGCTCTGGGCAGCCTGGGCTGCTGGTTGGCGACCTGCACATAGCAGGGGTTGGAACTGGATGAGCATTTGGTCCTTTTCAACCCAGGCCATTCTATGATTCTATGATTCTATGATCTTCCAGCATGATCCAGCAGGGTTTGAGATGTGATCTAGGAATTATCCCAAGTAACATGTACAAGTCTGAAAATAGAGCAGAAATAAGATAATGAGATAATTGTTTCATACTTCAGGGTGGTGCACCGAAAATGGGGAGAAGTATCATGATACCAAAGGAAATTACTGGATACCTAAAATGGACTAAGATAAGCAAATGGGAGTTTGAACTGGAAAGGAGATCTCCAAATCTGTTGACATTTCCAGCAGTATCAGAAGAAGTGCAATTCCTCATCTCTGCTCCCAGTAAGAGGAGCCTTGGACCACGAGCAGCATCTTTAAGGACTTTTCCAACCTGAGCAATTCTATGATTCTATGATTCTATGATAAAGATGAGACTAGCAGGAGACACCAGAGGAGTTCAGGCTACCAATGTTCACAGAAAAAAAAATTCCTGCTGCCTTGCATGTGCCTTTCCATTAATGAATTTTGACATATGGAGGTCGAGTTTTCATTACCATGGTGTAATTTAAGGAGATCTCAGCAAGCAGCTTGCTAGAGCCCCCACTCCTGTTTTCCTTTTGCTGCCGGCAGACTTCTCTTCTGCATGTGCAGTGTTTTCTTTAAAAGGGAGAACTAACCAATAATTCTTTGAATGGCTGGCACTTGATAGCTTAAACAAAAATGGAAATAGCCATTGAATGACACGCAGTGCCAATGAGAGCACCTTGTGCTTTAGCAAGCAGGCAGAAGTGGCACTGGCTGGTGCTTGTGTCCTGTTCCCGTGGCTGGATCTGAGCTGTTTTATAGCTCTGCTCTGCAATCATCACATGGGTTCCAGCTCAGCCACCTACCAATGCACCTATTCATGATAAAAGCCCAGTTGAGGAAAAGCTTTGAGCAACTCCTCGATGTTAAATATTGAAATCTAACCACCTCAGTGGGAATTAAATTAAGCACACGCTGTTCTTAATAGGTATGATTTTCTGAACAATTTCTTCCACTAAAAAAGGACAAAATCTCTCCCGTAAGGTTGTATGAAGTAGTCAGAAACCGTGATTACCTGGTTTGCCATCCTGAATCACCAGCTTCAAAACCTGCTTTCATCTATTGTATCTTAACAAACCATGAGCAGTTTAATTACCTCATTATAGAAGCAGAAGTGTGAAAAGGAAATGCAAGGAAAAGCCATGAGTCTGGTCAGGATTACAAGGGGAACCTGAAGGGTTGACTCCAGTGAATCTGAAACCTTTAATTAAAGTATTAAAAGTCTTCATTCTGAAGGCTGTTTCCATCTTCATGGCAACACGAACCGACCTGCCCCAAGGCTTCCCGTGTGCTGGGTTAACACACAGCTTGGGCAGCCCAGCCATTGGCTCTGAGCTGTGGTACACGCCTGGGCGCCATAAAGAACTTTTAAATAGCCATTAATTATATTCAGGCTTAAGGAAAATTGTCTTTATGCAAATGAGAAGCTCCAGAGTAGAGTTACAGGACATTTCATGAAACCTCAGATAAAATTTATTGATCTTTTGGAAAACACTTCAAGGGAAAAACCACCTCCGAGAGAACGGTAAAGGACTAAGCTTATTGTAGAACCCAGAGCTAAAATACAACTGAAAATTGGGAGTTTTAGATCAGGTATAAGGAAGAAACTCTCCACTATGAGGATGGCACAGGCACAGTGTGCATGTGGAGTGGTGGGAGGTGTCCCTGCCCATGGGTGGGTACTGAGTGGCTTTTAACATCCCTGCCAACCCAAGCCTTTCTTTGATCCTGCCATTCTAATATAGGTCGTCAAGGGAAAACCTATTTCCTATGTTCCTATAGGAACAGGTTGTCCAAGGAGGCTGTGGATGCCCCATCCCTGCAGGCATTCAAGGCCAGGCTGGATGTGGCTCTGGGCAGCCTGGGCTGCTGGTTGGTGACCTGCACATAGCAGGGGGTTGAAACCAGGTGATCATTGTGCTCCTTTTCAACCCAGGCCATTCTGTGGTTCTATGATTCTACCAACCAGCTACTCAACAGCTGATATATCTGCATTGGCTTTTATGAGGCTGAAGAAAAATTAATGTGTTAATCTTAGCAAAATACTGGAAAATGCATGAGTTTAACGTGTGTTTGGACCCTGCCCGAGCAGCAGTACAGTGCAAGTTAAGATCTCAGTGAAAATAAAACAAAATGTACCAGTTCTGTCAAAATCTGACAGTCATAAACGAACTAAGATGTCGACACAGACAGCAGGATGAAATCACTCAGCAAGCACAGCAGTAATCACGCTTAACTGAAAAATCTTCCCTTCTTCTGTCTGGGTATATGGATGAGAAAGAAGTGCTTTCCTTAAAAAAAAAAAAAAAAAAAAAAAAGGATAAAAAGATAAATAGCTTAGTCATGTATTGTCATTTTGAAAGAAAAATGTTACCATGAGCTGCTGAAAAGATCAGATTAATGCTTTTAGGTAGATGAATACTGGGACACGGGAAGATAACACGCTCTTGTAACATTCACACACTGCAGCAGAAAGGAGACTGCAGTCTCCATTAAGGCCATACCACCAAAGCCAACACCAGTCTCAACTTCCCTTCAGCTCTTGTCTGATTGATGGCAAGACATTGGCTAGAATATATAGGCTCAGATTCAACATAGAGATTTATTTATGAAGAAAGTATCTTTACCTTAGAATCATAGAAAGGCTCGGGTTGGAAGGGATCTCAAGGATCATCAAGCTCCAGCCCCTCTCCTGCATGCAGGGCCACCAACCTCCACATTTAATACCAGTCCAGGCTGCCCAGGGAAAGCCCACCCAGTGGTCCTTAATCATAGGAGAGGTAAGAAACCCTGAATTTCTTGAGAATTCAAAAATCCCACTGGCGCTCACAATTAACACGACTTCAAAACATGTAGTCACAGAAGCTGGATTTAGAACAGACTAAAATCCAGTGTGTTATGTGATGGGATCACCCAAACAGTCCAGCTGTACAGAACCTGACAGTTCCTGCTCTGTTTTGCCAAAAAGTCCTGGGAAGCAAAGTTGTGATGCAATAAGGCATAGGGGAATCGTAATGGTTAGTAATGATGAGTTGCATGCAAGTGCTAGACCTGATGGAAAAGGGAACAAAAAGAAGAAATAAACTTGATTTACCACTCTTGGGTTGGATCCATTATGGACTTCTCTTGGAAAGAATAGAGAATTGTTACCTTTGATATAACTAATATTAAAACACAAGGAATCAAATCCAGTAAATCAACCATACATGACTATTTGGAAATATTCATAGGGAATGAAAGCTCTCTCCACCTCCTGCAGCCTGGGCTGCACAGCCAGTCCTGTTGGTGCTGGGAGCTCACCAGGCTTTTCCATTCCTCCCATTAACTCAGCAGACGCCCCGCAGGCACTGCTTGCACGCAACTGAAATTGCTTGCACCCCTGGGAGAGGGAAGGAGGTCACTGTGCCCTCCCAGCCTCACCCAATGCCTCTCATCGGGGAGAACTGCCAGGGATGAGCAGCAGATCACGCCTGGCTGTTCTCTGTAAAGATGGCCATTGTCTGTGAGCAGCCCCTTCTTCTGCACTGCCCAACGTGCTGCCCGAGGGTAAAGAAATGGTGGCCTAAAGCTGGCTGGATAAAGCCTAACCCTTCAGCTTCATCTCTCAATGGTGCTCCAAAGCTGTTGTCATTTGTTGCCAGTGCTACTCTGTGAAAAGCAGAAGATAGGAAGCGTAACACAAGCTGGATGAATAATCATTTCAAGCCATCAATTCCTAATATTTCCTTTGCATATTAGTGTAAGTTCCAGATCTCCAGCGTGCTCTGGTTTAACTGCATCGCAAACACTCAGTCTTGCTCTGTGTGGGCCATCCAGCTGTGTGTGCATTGATGTTCCCCTTGTGGAGAGCAGAGAAACTCCTGTAGGCTAAATCAGGTTGGGTTGGCACTGCAGTGTGATTTTGGTTATACTGTGTGTTTGGGAGGCTGTCAGAAGCTTGAGCCATATAAAACCAGCAGCAAATCACTTTGTGTGTCACAGCAGGGCACGTCTCACAGGATGCTGCGCTGTTGCACACCTATGGAACACCAGATCCAAGTAAGGTTTGACCACAGCATATCATTGCATTGGCACCCTTTTTCCCTCCAGCCCACAGCTGCCCTGTTGAGAGCACTGGAACAGGTTGCCCAAGGAGGCTGTGGATGCCCCATCCCTGCAGGCATTCAAGGCCAGGCTGGATGTGGTTCTGGGCAGCCTGGTCTACTGGTTGGTGACCCTGCACATAGCAGGGGGTTGGAACTAGATGAGCATTGGGGTCCTTTGCAACCCAGGCCATCCTATTATTCTATGACTGAGCAGAACTTTGCCACCCAATGCTTTTGCTTGGAGGCATTGCTATTTCTCTGTCCCATGCAGACTGAAACACATACTTATTTCACCAAGAAATTCACAAATTTATAACATCCCTTTTTGCTGCAAAGACAAAAGGCTCCTTCTTCTCTGCTCTCTGCATGACCCACTGAGCACAACCCTCAGCCACCTGGAAAAAAGGAGCCTGAAATGCAGCTGATCACCAACCTAACGTCCCTTGCTCCCTCTCACACAGGAGCTGGAAGTTACCCTGCCAAAATGGGAGCTTCAAGTCTTAAGTATCATTCTCCAAAGAAATAGGAGTTACAATTTAAATGCCTTCTTACTGGATAGCCCTGGAAAATAATGACATAAACAAGGAGGTTATACCTGGAATACCTTAAAGGCAACTCTGGAGTTGCTGTTTTTACAAACAGCAGATCAGTAAAAAAGGAAATTTGACTGCATAAGAATTACATGGGATTTTGACTGATAAGTACAGTTGCCTATTTCATTTACTTAAAGTCTACTGAACTTGGATGTTTGCGAACCAGAAGTTTTGTAATCCTACTTACTACTGAATGGACCATCAAAAGCTTTGATTACACAGCTGGTTCTCCACCAGGGATTTGCATCTCTGACACAGTTTATGGCTTCATGCAGTTTGCTTTCCCTGTCTTTTGGTCAAACTTGCTTTACAGTTCCCTTATAATTGAAACAAAAACGCTCTAGGTTTCTGTTTCGGGGGTGTTTTCCTAACAACCACAGCAATAACACTGTTGTTAGATAAATTTTTGTCCTAAGCAAGGAGTGGGATGGAGGAGACAGAACCAGAAGGGAAAGGCAACAGGTTATACATCTCAGTTTTGTTTTCTTCAAACTCCAGGACACCCAAAGAACAAACAGAAAGCTGGGCAGGGGAAGCACGCGCTGGTGAGCAGGTGGCCAAAATCCTCTTGTTTCAGATATTTAATACAAATGCAGATGTCGCATTGTTTTGAGGCTTCATAAAAATACAGAAACTCTGTGTCTGTGTGACAAAGTGGGTAAACCAGAGGCATTTTAAACAAACAGCTCGGTCTGCACGGGGACACGCGCACCGCAGGCTGTCAGCACCCTGCAAACACTCATCGTGGGGGCCAGCAGCAAACCCAGCAATTAAAGAGCTCCTCAGCAGGGATCCGGCATCATTTTGGATGCTCGATTAAATCTGAAATTCTTTGGATAAATTATCATCAGCTCCACGGGCTGACACAAAGATCATCTTTTGTGTTTGAGAAAATAAAGGGGTTTTATTCAGAAATGCCACAGAGGATGTGGGGCTGGCTGCCCCACACGCCAAGCCCAGCTCCAGGGGCATGTCCCACTGTCCCTCCCCACTCAGTGAGCCCAACACCACCCCAACCACATCTGAGAGCTGTGCCTTGCAGTGAGGGCATCCCAGCTGCACACCTGGACAGAGGAGAGGAAGGCACCTCGGGCATCCACAGAGCAGGAGGTCAGCAGGCAGGGCTGGGACAGGCTGCTCTTGTCAAGGGGGAGGAAAAGCCAGCCTCCCATCCAGCTCACCCCATGGTGATTCCTTTCAGCATCTAACAGGGGGCTGCAAGAAAGAAGGGGACAGACTCTTTAGCAGCAGCATCTGTTGTGATAGGTCAAGGGGAAGTGGTTTCAAACTAAAAGATGGGAAGTTTAGACTGGATATGAGAAAAAAAGTTGCATGCAATGAGGGCAGTGAGGCACTGCATGGGCTGCCCAGAGAGGTGGGGGTGGTCCCTGCAGACACCCAAGGTCGGGGCTGGGCTCTGAGCATCTGATGGAGCTGTGGGTGTCCCTGTGCATTGCAAGGGGTGGCACCAGACGGCCTCTAGAGGTCCCTTCCAACTCAAACCATTCTATGAACGTTCCACCATGCCTCGTGCATTGGATGCTTTCAAGTCCCAACGGGGAGTGCTTCCCACAGCCCTCCCGCCTTCACTTCACCCTAAGCACACACACATCCCACTCTTTCTCTTATCTCTCTATTTATAGACCTATAAAAATGTACAGTTACACATCACAAAAACACTCCTTCCTCCTCCACCTCAGTGCATCTCGCCGTGCCCGGGGGCTGCGCTCACACAGGGGCCCCCCGCAGCCCCACCGCTGTCTCCGGCCTCGGGACGCCTCTTCCTCTTCCTCCTGAAGTTGCCGTTATCGAACATTTTCTCGCAGTTGGGGTCCAGCGTCCAGTAGTTGCCTTTACCTGCAGAGGGGAGAGAAAAGGTGCGGCGCCCATCGCTCCGGCCCCGACCCACGGGCAGCACCACTCCGCCCGCCCCATCTCCACCCTCCGCCTTACCCGGGTCATCCTCGTCCCGCGGGACCTTCCTGAAGCAGTCGTTGAGGGACAGGTTGTGTCGGATGGAGTTCTGCCAGCCCGCCTTGCTCTTCTTGTAGAAAGGGAAATTCTCGGCCACGTATTGATAGATCTGGCTGAGGGTCCTCCGTCGGCCCGGCGCGCTGTGGATGGCCATGGCGATAAGCGCCGAATACGAGTAGGGCGGCCGTGCCGGGCGCGGACCCTCGTGCTGCGGGAGCGGCGACGTCCAGCCCCGCTCTGGGCACGGCGGTGGGAACGGAACGGCGGGCGGATAGGGGGCGGCGGGGCCGCCGAGCCACGCGTAGGGGCCGCCGGCGGGCGGGCGGAGAGCCGCGTCCAACAGCTCCCGGGCTCGGGGCGGCTCGGACGGAGGCCCGAAGGCGTGCATGCTCCGGCACCACCGAGCCTATCCCGGCACCGCACCGAGCCGCCTGCCCCAACGGCGCGGCCGCACCCCGCCCGCTTAAATAGCGCCCGCGGCCCCTCCGCCAGCACCGCGCTGCCCCGAGCCCGGCTACGGGAGGGCCGCCCCCACCCCACGCGTGTCCGCTCCCCCGGAGACCCCTCCCTCCGCACCCTCCCGTGCCCCTGCTAGGATTGCCACGAAGGCACGTGCGGTCCGACGCGCACACGTGCGCTCCCAATACTGAATGCTCCCGAATTGGAGCCGTGCCCACCCGCAGGTGCCCACCAGCTCCAGGCAGAGCTGCGGCACACCGATGAATGGGAGCTGCCTGCTGGGAGAGGAGGAACGGGCTGCTTTCATTTCGTACTGCTGGTATTAAACTTCGGGTAGAATTTGTACTCTGCTTTGGTCGATGCCAACCCATGTGCCCGACATCCTAGAAACACTTTACTTCTGCATCTCTTATTGTCCTGTAAAAACATTTTTTTTGGGTTATGCTTATCCTACCGACGTTAAAGCAGTGAGAAGGAAAATCATCTACAATTGTTCTTCTCTGACAGAAGATGTAAATTGATGAAAACTCAAATTTTAGTTGCACTTCTGAACGTTTTCTCACTTTAGAATCCATCCATCTTTTAGAAATTTCACACCATTCCTGAGACATACATAAGACGTGGATTTAGCAGCAGTTGTAGCTACAGAGAGGTAAAGGTGAATGGGCTCCTGACCATAGCAGGGAATTCAAATAGCTGAGGTGGCTTCCCACACCTGTGCCAATAGATCTTTGCACTTTGAGTAGCAAGATTATGTTTGAACTATTTCTAAACCATACATTACATCCTTTGTGTGCGTAATATTCGCATTCCCCTGGCAGCTCTGTCTGATCCCATGTGCTTTCTCTGGGAGATGCCTTCTCAGAGGAGATGCAAGAATTGCTGTGTGGGTCAGATTGCTTCCTAATGGAAGGCAGTGGATAGCTTGTGCCCTGGGGCAGGTGTGTTATAACCTACGTTGTATAGAGATACGGGTATTATAACCCATTTATATATATCTGTATTAGCACTATATGGATATGTAGGATTACACCAAGCCTATCTGCAAAGTAAAGGACTTGCTGCAATGAAATTAGTTCAGCAATCCACCCCCAGACATCACCTTTATTTATCTTCCCATCTCTGGCTGATCCCACATTGATGCACAGCCCCAAAGGGCTCTCAGGGCTGCTCCCATTTCTCAGGTCACAGTATGTTCTGTGTCACTGCTACAGGGAGCTCATTACCTTCTGCCTTCCACAGTAAAACTGACACCACAGGACATGAATATCCTCGTGCACAATGTGTTTGGTGGCACTGACTGCTTGTTTCACAAAAATACCCAAATACCCAAATGTAACTCCTTGCCCACTTCATGACATGGAACCCATGGAAAAAAAATAGTTCTTGTTATGAGAAGTGTATCATTTTACAACTTTTCTCTTCTCTTCCTTTAGAATTTCACCAAAATCACATGATAAAAAGCGCATGATGACAGTGTGACTGAGGAGCATCCTTGGCTGTTCTGTGGTTATATTCAATCTTGGCCCTAAACTGAGCCGCAATCCCAGCCCTAGCCCCATTCCTATCCCCACCCCCATCTCCACTCCATTCCGATCCCTATTCCCAGCCCCATCCCCACTCTCATTCTCATCCCTATCCCCAGCCGCCAGCCCATCGCGGCCAGATCTCACGCTGGGGCTGGTAACGGTGTGGTTGCAATGCCATCTAGCGATCACCGTGGCTGATGAGCTCCAGGAGCTGCTTTTCCCCTTGCTACTCCCATCTTTCTCCCTCCTCCCGCCGCCGCAACATCCAATTAGGCGGCTTAAAGCCCGAGAAATGAGGTGTGCTAACAAGCAAGCGTGAGAGACAGAAGCACTACTGACCCCTTGTCGTTTGCAAGCTGTGTAGTACATCCTCATCAAGTAGCACGGCTTAATTGGCTTGCTAAAGGCATCATTACCGCCAGGTCTAGCCTGCTCCCAGGTGTGTGGGGTGGTGGGTGACAACTGCTGGTGGCCACCTGGTCACCTGCACTTCCATAATTAGTGCTGTATGTGGGCACCACCTGCCCCTTATTCTCTTGGTAAGGTGGCTTAAAAAGTCACAACACCTGCAATGAAAGGTCATTTCAACATCTAAAGGGGAACTAAGGGAAAGAAGGGGGCAGGGTCTTTAGCAGGGCCAGCTGCGATAGGACGAGGGGAAATGGTTTCAAGCATAAAGAGGGCAGATTTAGGTTGGGTATAAGGAAAAAGTCTTTCATGGTGAGGGTGGTGAGGCACTGGAACAGGCTGCCCAGAGGTGTGGTGGATGCCCCATCCATGGAGACTTGAAGGCCAGGCTGCATCAGACTCTGGGCAACCTGCTGGAGCTGTGGTGTCCCTGTGCACTGCGGGGGAGTTGGACTGGATGGCCTCCAAATGTCCCTTCCAACTAAGGATTCTATGATTCTATGCACAAGACCCAGCCTGCAGAAGGCAGGAGGAAGCCAACCTCCCTCTCAGTAAAGCAGCTTCAGAGGAGCAAATCCAGCACACTGAATCTCAGGGCACTCTATATCAATGCTACTATTTTTTTTTTTTTTCCCACCATATTTCTTTCTCATACCTTAAAATTAGAACCTTGAAAACTACTCCATGCCCCAAAATCACAGCAAAAAAGAAATGTGATAGATCCCATATCAAACACCACCACCAGCCACCCTAATAGCTTCAACTAAAAGGAAGTGGGAGCAGCTGGCATATAAACACACAGTGAGAAACAGCAAATAAGGTGAACTACTCAGATCACATCAAAACAGAAGGAAATCCATAAGACACCATGAATATCCACCCAAACGTTATTTTGGACTTAACACAGCTCTGCTTGTTTGCTGTGACAATTATTAGCTAACTAATGGACATTTTTTGAGCCAATCAAGCTTGAGACAATTGGTCTATGGCAATTAACTCTATTAACTCTAAAATTAGAATTCAGACAATCTCAGCAATTACGATTTAAACCTGAAATATGTATCTCACAGGAAGCCAATAAGAAAGACAAATCTGCTGGAGACTGCCATATTTAGATTGCACAATCTATTCTAATTTATTTTACTCTCCAACTCACAAGAGCTCAGGCAACAATTTTCTGCAGCCACGTTGTACGAGAGTAATGTCATAGAACCACAGAATGGCCTGGGTTGCAAAGGAGCACAACGCTCATCCAGTTCCAACTCCCTGCTATGTGCAGGGTCACCAACCAGCAGCCCAGGCTGCCCAGAGCCACATCCAGCCTGGCCTTGAATGCCTGCAGGGATGGGGCATCCACAGCCTCCTTGGGCAACCTGTTCCAGTGCCTCACCACCCTCTGGCTGAAAAACTTCCTCCTCATATCCAACCTAAACCTTCCCTCTCTCAGTTTAAGACCATTCCCCCTCATCACACCACTGTCCATTCTTGTAAACAGTCATTAAACGTCATATGCATTTTTTCCATTGTTTGCATTTCAAAGTACACCAAAGTTTGGGCAGCAAAACCATCAGCACAAACAGCACTAATGCCCTCACAGCGTGGTAAGAGGGCACATTCCTTCACTATGTTTCCTTTCAGTCTAACTATTCAGAAAATCCGAGAAAAATCTATGAGAAAGTGCAACATGCATTGATGTTTTGATCTTCTTTTGCCCACTAAATGCTTTATCTTTCATCTTCAAGAGTTGTTTTCTTAAGCAAAATCTGGCACAACTGCTTTTAAAATGTCACCGGTGCTAAGTTGAATCTATTTTCACCTGTAACTCCATGCAACTCCAGTACTGTGACCTCAGAAAAGAGCAAAATTACAATTAATGCCTCATAGAAATACCTAAAATGACCTGGAATAACCTTTTCCAGCACAACAGGATTCCATTTTCCAGCTCTCATCCCCAGAGTTAGAAAACAGGCAGCATAGAAGTAGAGGTTCAGTAAAAATGGACGTACCAATATTTCAGTGCTCTGTGCATTGCAATTGTATTCCACTTTTACCTCTTATTTTATTTCAGCTCATTAGTGATCCCCCATGTAGAAAGATCCCTTTGAGCTAATGGCGTTCAGATCAATTGATATGGAGCATCCTTGGTCTGTTGAATTCTGGAAGTGCAACGTCCGCCTTCCATTGAGGAAAAAAAAAAAAAAAGTGAAGAATTATTGTTTCATGCATTTTATGGAAAGGATTTGATTAATTATACATTAATGATACATAAAGAGGCTGCTTATTTAGGATATATGTCCCTTACTACAGATCTCCCATACGTTAGCACCTAAATGGAAGGGAAATGCACCCCCCACTTCAGCAGCAAGGCAGTTCCTGTGGTTGAGACAGCAAGAATGGAGAAACCAAAGGATCCATTGTCCACACTGAGCACAGAGAGCACACACAGGTGTCACAGAACTCCAGCCACCTCCCTGAAATGCTGTGATCTCTCCTGGTGGCAGTGCCAGCAGGAACTACTGCTGTGTGGGGCAATGGAGCATCACCATTTGTGCACATGTGTCACAACATCCATCTACCATTGTGTGCAGCCTTCAGAAGCATCAAGTGAAATGGTTCTGGTCATGCAGGCAATAAGCAGGTTGCAACCATCTGCTTTTCCCAAGGCACATCATTTCATCACTCACCTGGTCTAAACAGGAGGTCGGTGTCAAACACGGGCTGTCCTGTAGCTGTTCCACTGCATAAGGAGCAGCAAATTGCAAGCATCTTGTTCTGCTGCAATAGAATGCGAAGAAACCCTCTGAGAAACCCTCTTTATTCATTTATTTTTTTTCTTCCATTACTAAGTAGGCTATTAATTACTGCAAAACTCATGTTTAATGGAAAGACATTGCAGAACATGTCTCCTTGAGGACCTGTTTTGTTTTTGAAAGCCTAAGTGTTGACATCATGCTTTGTGATTTATTCTCAAATTGGCTGAGGCTCGCTGTGCTGGACTGTGGACAAAGCCCATTTATTTCCCAGGCTGGGAAGGCCATCC